CTTTTGCTGTTCTCTTTCTATTTGTTTGAGTTGTAGGGCTAACGTTTTGATTTTGTTCCTTTCTTCTTTTTTGATGTGTGCATCTATTGCTATAACTTGATTTCTGAGCACTGCCTTTGCTGTGTCCCAAAGGTTTTTGTATGATGTGTTTTAATTATCATTTGATTCTAGAAATTTTTTTATTCCATCTTTGATTTCTTCTATTACCCAGTGGTTTTTAAGCAAGGTGTTATTGATTCCATGGTTTTGATTTTTTTTCCCTGTAATTAATTTCTGTTTTTATGGCATTGTGATCACAGAAAATGCTCTGTAATATCTCAGTGTTTTGGGTTTTGTTGAGGGTTGCTTTGTGGCCTAAAATGTGGTCTATTTTGGATAATGTTCCATGTGCACTAGGAAAGAATGTATACTTTGCTGCTGTTGGTGGAGTGTTCAGTATATATCTATGAGGCCAAGATCATTGATTGTGGCCTTTAGATCTTCCGTATCTTTGCTGAGTTTCTTTCTAGATGTTCTGTCCTTTATCCAGAGTAGTGTGTTGAAGTCTCCTACTATTATTGTGGAGCTGTGAATTTCTCTTTTTAGTGCTGGTAGAGTTTGTTTTATGTATTTTGGAGCTCGTTGCTGGGTGCATAGATATTTATTATGGTTATGTCATCATGGTGGATTGTCTCTTGTCATGGATTGAATTGTGTTCCCCAAAAATATCTGTCAACTTGGCTGGGTCATGATTCCCAGTATTGAGTAATTGTGTACTATTTCATAATCTGATGTGATTTCCTTATGTGTTGTAAACTCACTCACTATGATTTAATAAGATGGATTAGTGGCAGTCATACTGACGAGGTATAGAAGATTGGACAGTGTCTTAAGCCAATCTCTGTTGAGACATAAGAGAGAGAAGTGAGCAGAGACACATGGGAACCTCATACCACCAAGAAAGCAGTGCCGGGAGCAGAGTGCGTCCTTTGGACCTGAGGTTCCTGCACAGAGAAGCTCCCCAACCAAGGGAAGATTGATGACACAGACCTTCCTCCAGAGCCAACAGAGAAAGTGTTCCCCTGGAGCTGATGCCCTGAATTTGGACTTGTAGCCTACTGGACTGTGAGAGAATAAACTTCTCTTTGTTAAAGACATCCACTTGTGGTATTTCTGATAGCAGCACTAGATGACTAAGACATCTCTTTAATCGTTATATAATGTCCGTTCTTGTCTTTTAAGGTGGATTTTTTCCTTAAAGTCTATTTTTTCTGAGATTAGTATTGCCACTCCTGCTCTTCTTTGGCTGCTGTTTGCTTGACATATTTTTTTACATCCTTTGATTTTTAATATATTTATGTCTTTTAATATATTTATGTCTTTAATATATTTACGTGTGTCTCTTGTAGACAGCATATTGATGGGTCATATTTTTTTAATCCATTCTGTCACTCTCTGTCTCTTTACAGGTGCAGTCAAGCCATTTATATTTAGTGTGATTATCGATAGGTGAGAGTTTCTTGCTCTCAGCTTGTAGTGCTTTTTTTGTGGTGCTAAGATTTTCTTTGTTCCTCTTACTCTCCTATGCTGAGTTCCCTTTGTGGAATTTCTTTTCGTTTCTTTTGTTATTGTAGATTTTATGTTTACTGTGACTTTTTGTTTTTCTTCTTTATTAACTTTCCTTGTGGTTACCTTGAAATTTACCCTTATCTTCCTAAGTTTGAACCAGTCTTTTATTACTTGATATCGCTTTGACTTCCTCTCCCTTTGAAAGTTCTATATGTACACTGTGTATTTCCTCTTTTATTATTCTGATTTTGTTGTCATTTACAGATTGACATCTCTAGTTTTGTTTTATCCTTGTGAGTTCATTACTTTATCCCTTCATTTAAGGCTCAGGGTTCCAGGATTGATGTCTCAATCTGTTTTACTTGTTTTTTTCAGGTCTTTGTTGCAGCTGGATGGCTTAGTGCATCTGACTAGTATGCCATCTTGGTTCCATTTCCTTCATCTTTACTCTTGAGTGATCATTTACTGTAAACAGAATTCCAGTTCGACCCTCATTTTTTTCTCAGCATTTTAAGGATAATATTCCATTATTTTTTACTCTTCTCTTCATAATTTTGTATCAGACTAATTGCTATTCTTTTGTAAGATATTTTCTATTATCTATTGCCAATTGCCCTGGGGTTATGAGCCTTGGATCACTTTATATTAATTTTTCAACTTGGGTAGTTCCTGGCCCCTGCAGGAATTGTAAATTTGAATCCGAAACCATCTGAGGACAGGCCTGTGGTTAGGAATTCTTAGAGCTGATTTTTTAATCTATACCTCACCTGCAGGAATCCAGGGGCAGAGAGACAAGCTTCATCATTCCTTCCCAGTGCTGAGGGCGTATTTTTTCTAGTCTGAACTTTTATGTTATTATTGAGCAAATAGTTCTTCAAAGGTCCAAGCTTTAAGGGGAAGGGAAGTTTCAGTCTAAGTGGCCCACTTTGTGAAGGCACAAGGCCTCATCTCTTGCCCAAGTGACCTTTAAACCCATTCATCCAGACATACAACCTCCCCTCTTCCTGCTCTCCAGCCCCAACATCATCTCAAACTTATTGCACAATGATTTAGTTCGCTCTTCATTTTTGGCCCCTGGAGATTTCCTCGATTTTCCTGAGATTTCGGCTACCCACTTAAATGAATGCTTGTTATGATTTGAGCAGCATTTCTAGGTGTTTTGTTCTCACGTCTGTGTGGTCTGTCACAATGTCCCACATCCTTTCTTTGCACAAGAGTATTCTTGATTAGGAATCTACCTTCTTTTATACCAATCGTATCTTTCTGAAACTACAATCCTATAATTAACCTTGATTTGTCTTGGTTCTTTCTCAGTTCTCCCCAAACATACATTTACAGACTGTTTCTTAGGAATTCTTCAGATGACTCATTCCATCTTTTATTGGGCCATTTTCTTATGAAGATGCGAGATATCTGGATAGAGGGAGGGGAAAGGCTAGAACCTAAACTAGGCTCATTAACCTTATTCTCTAGGTAGGATGTCATTACATCCAAGTGCACCTCACTCATATAATTCTATTTAAAAACGTTTAGAAGTATACAAGTAACATTCAAATATTCTTTTTGTTTAAATATAAAAGATACAAAACAAACTCAAAGTCCCCTTTCAATACTACCCCTCTCACTCCCCTCTCTAGAGGTAACTATTATCAGTGTTTTGAGGACATCTTTGCAGTGCCATTTCTATACATTTTCTTCCTCTCTAGTGTATATACACCTGTACATTTTCTTTGTACACAAATGACACCTCTTCATTTTATAGGTGAGGAAAATAAGTGGGACCCTGAGGGGGTCAAATTTAATAAATTTGTAGACAAATTTATTGAAGGAAAGCCAATTGAATAATCGTTTATTAAAACTCTATTATGTATTGGTCTCTACTCATCTGGAACAAAAGAGAATGAAGGAAACCACAGACTCGAAGAAACCAACCCATAAGAACCATGGCCTCATCTAGCCTGAGATCAGAACTAGATGGTGCTTGGCTACCACGACCATTATAACCAGGGACACAATAGAATGTCTCAGATGGAATGGGAGAAAAATGTAGAACAAAGTCAAATTTCTAAAAAAGACCGGACTTGCTGGACCAAGAAAGACTAGAGAAACCTCTGAGACTATTGCCCTAAGATACCCTTTGAACTTGGAACTGAAGCTACTTCCAGGTCACCTTTCATCCAAATAGAAGACTGGCTTATAAAATAAACAATATCACCTGCAAGCACTGTGCTCGCTTAAATAATCAACTATATGATACCAAACGGTCAACATTTACCCTAAAGCAAAGATGAGAAGGTAAGGAGGGCCAGGGAACTAGATTAATGGAAACAGAACAAACAGAATGGAAATAATGAGAATACTGACACATTGTGAAAAATGTAACCAATTTCATGAAATAATCAGTATAAAAATTGTTAAATGGGAACCTAATTTGCTGTAAACTTTCACCTGAAACACAACAAAATATTATTTTTTAAAATCCCCTACTGTGCGTCAAATCCTGTGCCATGCTATCTTGGCATGAAAGATGCTGGTATTTTACTTTTGCTGGATAGAGCTGCTGCACCAGGTTAGCTAAAGCAATTAGTTTAGACTTTGGAGAACGTAACGTGTACGAGAGTTGATTCAGTGCTGATAATAAAGGATTTGGATTTTGGTGGGAGCTTCAGTGGAGCTGCAAAATAGAAAACAACAACAACAAAAAAACCCTGTCATCGGCAGTTGAGTCTGTCAGTAAAGCTTGTCAAGTTGAAACGCGAGGAACCTGCTACCTGGCGAGACACGAAGCTTCCTCCGGAAAGCAGGAGCTGGTATGTCTACGAGGCTGGCCTTGGAGTTTGAAGAGGGAGGCACCAGCGGTTGCAAAGAAGGTTGCGGCGAGCAGACAGCAACCGAGCAGCCAATCCGGAGAGCCGAGAGAGCGCTCCCGGACCGGTTGGGAAGTGCGCCTGCGCTCACCGCTCAGCGGGCCAGGAGGGGCGGAGCATGGGGGCGGTCAATGAGCCTGCGCAAACCGCGCTGCGAGGTGGGGGAGGGTGGTCCGTGTGTGTCTGTGTTGTTGTTCGGCGGCAGCGGCGGCGGCGGTAAGATGGCTGCCCACGGGGGCTCCGCGGCGTCCTCGGCGCTGAAGGGGTTAATTCAGCAGTTCACCGCCATCACCGGTAAGAGATGCGGTTACCGGAAGGTGGAGAGTGGGGTCCGGAGCGGGCGGCGGGTCTGCCCCGGGCTTTCTCCTACCTTCATGCATTCCTCCCTCGGGCTTTACTCAAAGCTCCCGTCTTCCCTCCTGAGGAAGAAGCGACGACGGCGTCGGGGTCTCCGGGTTCAGGCGGGAGACGGCCCCTCTCGCTCCCCCCATCCTCGTTCGCGGTCTCCTCGCAGTTTGGAGGGGGATCCCTAATCCCCTGCCTGCCCGGACCCGGCGAGTGGGCCGAGCCCATCCGTCCCCGCCGGCCTGGGGACCTGGGGGCGGGAGGAGTGGGGGGCCGCACCCGGGCCACCGCCCTCCTCCTCCTCCTCCATCATCTTCCCGTCTTGTTTGGCCAGCCCTGGGGTGGAGTGCATCCCCTCACCTCCTCTTTTCTTTTTCCCTGGCCAGGTCATTCTCCCCCCGTCCCTGGCCTGCCCTTCCCCTTGCTGGGCCCCTTGGAGCCTTAGCTGTGGCCCTGGCTTGTTCGGGCCCTCCCGCCTTGACGGCGAGGCCGGTGGGTTCGGCAGCGCCTTTACCAATCCCGGGAGATCGGCCGCCAGAAAGGGGGGCTGCTAAGGAGTATCTTAGGAAGTGGGGTTTTAAGAGAAAAATGAGGGGGATCTCCTCCCCAAGCTTAATTGTGAAGGCCTGGAAGAATCCTGGGTGGCGTTTTCCACCTCCCTATAATAAAATCATAAAGACTGAGACGGTGGCGCCGGGGCCTCCTGCCGCTAACATAGGGATGGCGGCAGAAACTTCTCTGAGAGAAAATCTGCTTTTGGGTGTCTGTATCCCTCAAACCCTAGGCCTAGGTTTTTCTTTTTTTTTGGACCCCTGCGAAGGGCACACGCAGATCCTCTAACCGCCTGGAGGAAAGGCCCTAAGCCATTCTATGAATTCTCTCTGTCTTGGTTTCTCTATGATGGTGCTGAACTTTTTTTGCATGAGTTATTAGAGGGCGGAGCAAATGATGAAGTTCTCTGTGGAGTGATTTGAGAGAAGAGTACTCCATGTGCCTGAGTGTAATTTTGCCGTTCTAGTTTGTCATTTTGGAAGGAGGTCAGGATATTAGTTCCCTCGCCTAGCAGATCCTCTGTTTGATAATTTGTTAAGATGCAGACGATCTTTTCACTGTTAACATTCTTAGGGTTTGTCGTGCAAGATCTGGTTAAGTACAGTTTTACAGTTTTAACCAATACAGGTTGTTTGCTGGTTATCGTTTTATAATTAAAGCTAGTTTTGTTTTTTACTCTGCAGGTATAACTAGCTGTTTGATGCATTGTTAGCTAGCTTGTGGGCGTGCAGCATCATGCCAAAGATGGTAAAATAAAATTTGTAATAAAATTGGAGTGGGAGTGGAATGATAATTTTCATATTTATATTTTAAACTATTAAAGAAATAATGCATATTCCGTTACCTAAACAAACCACTTTTATGGGGGAAATTAGAAAATTATCATATATATAAGTTAACATTCGTGCATTATGTTTATATAGAAAAATCTTTGTAGTGAATCAGGTATAGAGTGAATATCTTTAATAATCCTTTCTTTAGGCTTCCTAGAGGTAGTTTAATTTAAGATGCCACTTATTTAATTTCAGTTTCTTATGCTGACTACTGCCCCCTTCAGGGACTCATATTGCTTTAACCTCACATTATCTCTTCTAATGTAACATTTTTGTTAGTTACAGACAAAAATCCAAAGTAAGGTGAGGTGAACTGACTCACTTTATTGTTTTTATTCTGTTTCTGTCTGCTAGTCTACACTGCTTGTTTCCTGGTCACAGGCCTTTCTATTCCTGAATCAAGTTGGGTTCTCTCCGTAGGCAGTGGTGTCTGAATTCTACAAAAGGGAAAATACCTTTAGATTGTTCTTAATGTGTTGTGAATTTTTATTAATTTTTTGAGTTTCTTTTAACAAGGTAGTGATTACCATTAGAAGCACACGATTGACTGCTCCAGTCCTTTTCACATATCTTAAAAGTAAATCTTGGGGTTGTCTCTCTTCACAGTAGTGTTTATGATAAGATGGTATTTGTTTTGTATGCATTGCTGGGTGAATTAGACTGATCTTAGGAGCTTATGCTCTGATTTCAAAAAGGTTTACTTATCTAGAAGTTCAACATTCTGATACAAGCAACTCATCTTCAAAAATGTTGCAAATCTTACCTTTTCTATGGCATTTAGTAATAAAGAAAGTTGAACAATTTCCTGGTAAATCTTATTTCTCACTAAATAAAACAAATTTCTATAGTATGTGTGCATGAACTAATGAATCTGTTTTTTTAATTATTAAAAAGATATCATGACAAACATGAAATAGTTTTGAAAAAAGGGAAAAACCTAATCTTCCACTCACATCAGTATTACTTATTTTACATGATATCTTCCAACTCTTGTTTGCATACTTATTTTTGCGTTATGGATCATAGTATACATAATTTAGAATTCTGAATTTTTCACTTAACATTACACCATAAACATTTTTCTGTGCTCACACTCTTTGATAAGCAAGTAGCCAAGGAAGTGATGTTCTCTGAAGTAATCGCATTAAGAAGTTACATACTGCCACCATTGATTGATACGTTCAGACCAATTTAAAGCTACATAGATTTAAAGCTACGTAAAATCTGTCCTGTTACTTTTTAGTCATACCACATTGTACATTATTCAGTTTGATTGCCCTTGATACTCATCACGCATGACATTGAATGACTGTTGGCTGCTTTTAGAAGTCTTATCAGTTCTCAGAACATGAAAGAATATGCTGCTGGATCTGAAGGTAATTCCAAGTGAACAATTTAAAAAAACGTTTTGAACCATGACAGTATCCCGTTAACACCAACTTGGGCTGACATGTATACAAAATGTACAGATGTAATCAGAATAACTCATGAGGCAGAGGGTCTGGGGACCATTATAGAATAGGTAAAAAATAAACAGGCAAATCAGAAGGTAAGGACACAATGTGGAGGCCTAGAAGAGTATAACAGGTTGCTAGTACGGAATTCCTTAATGCTTTGTGCGTAGTAGGCATGAACATATTTCATGAAATTATAGAATGTCAGTTGTAGAAAAGACCTTAGTTTAATCTTCTTTTCTGAAATTGTTGAATGGATGCATATTTATTTTAAAAATTAGAAACTGGTGTCGGTAGTATTTGGCTTTGTGGTCAATTTCAGTTTATATTTTATGTAATACATTTCTCTTTGGTTAGTATTAAAGTACATTTAAGTTCTCTGTATCAGAAAAAGTGGTTTCAAGTGTTCTAGATATCAAAAGAAAACTTTTAGCATTTTAAGATTTCAAAAGGTGATAATGAAGTTTGAGTAGAAGTTTAAGGGAGGTAATTTTTTGAGTTGTGAATGGAATTTCACGAATAAATTTAGTATTTATTGATAGGCTACTATGTACTAGGCATGCTTCAGATCCAGGGTTTACTGCCATGAGCAAGAAATGGTCTCAGACCTCAGAAAGATTAAATTTTAATGGGAATACAGAGATGTAAATAGGCATTGCTATACAGTGGGAGAATGGTGAGGTGTCATGGGAGCACAAAAGGGGGAAGTCAAGAAGGGTTTCCCAGAAGAAATAATTTCATAGCCAAAACGTAGAGGGTAGTTTATCTGGAGAGAGATGTTTTTGGCAGGAGGAACGTGTGTAAAGGCCTGAAAAAGAGAGGGTCAGACATACACAAAGGGATGAGAGAAGAGACAGTAGGTTTAGAGAATTAATGATAGTTCCAAATAAATAGAGCATAGCTGGTAGGAGATGCAATAAATGGAACTAAACAGAGAAGCAGGGAGAGCCAGATCATAAGGGCCCTGCAAACCATGTTGAGAAATCTGGGCTGTATTTTTAGTGTAGTGGGGAGTGACATAATCAGATTTGAGGTTTTTAGAAGGAGCTAATTGGCTATAGTGGAGAAGAGGAAGGTACAGAGATAGTAGAAGACTGTTGCATTAATCCAAGAAGGATACTGGTGCCCTAAAATAAGTCAGTGGCTGAGGAGTGGACTCTGAAAGATATGGGAAGAAATTGGAGGAGTCAAAATGCAGCTTAGGAATTCTATTTTGGACATCTGCTTATAATTTATAAAGATAATGGGATACAAGAGGTTCGGGGAGAAGGTGATTAGTTCTATTTTGAGTAAGTTAAATTGCTACCGGTGGGACTTCCAAATGGAGCTGTTCAATAAACAAATGAGTATTGGGTCTAGAATGAAGAGTTATATTCATGGCATTTGAAGCTGTAAAAGTGAATGATGTCTTGCAGGGGAGAGTTTAGTATAAAAAAGAAGAGGCTCTAGGACACAAAGCTAAAGGAACACCAATATCTGAGGAACTGCATAATAATAAAGTGCAGAGAAGACTAAAGAGAAACCAAGATGTAGGAGGAAGACGAAGAGAGAGTGATGGTACCTCAGACATCAGGAATAGAGTGATATCTCAGATGTTACCCCCCAGAAAACCAAACCTACTGCTGTCCAGTCATTTCCTACTCATAGAGATCATATAGGACACAGTAGAACTACCCCATAGGGTTTCTAAGATTTACACATCATTTTTTTTTTTAATTTTTGCATACAAAAATTTATACATACATTGTTAGGTGACTCTAATTGCTCTCCCCTTACTGTGACAGCACACTCCTCCTTTCCACCCCTGATTCCCCGTGTCCATTCAGCCAGCTCCTAACCCTCTCTGCCTTCCCATCTCACCTCAGGACAGAAGCTGCCCATTTAGTCTCTTGTATCTGCTGGAGCTAAGGGGCACACTCCTCATGAGTATCACTTTATGTCC